AAGAGCTTGTTTTTCTAACAGCAATGTATCGTTGTGCATAAGGTACTTCCCAAGCTTTGATCTTGGCAAGTTGCAAAAGTAGGAAATGCTCGATTACATCGATTTCTCGATTTTTTTTTGATAACAGCTCGAATTTTTTTTGATAACAGCTTTGTTTTTATTTCGTTTATTTGATTTTTAATATACTCTAAAATTTTTGTTAATAATGTTTTATCTAAAACATTTTTAATTTATACAACTTTTTTTAAGTGTAGCAATGTTATTTATTCATGACATATTTTATTTGTTTTTTAATGAAAAATTAATTACAAAAGCATTTGCAATTCATTTAATTTCGAAAACTTTTGATATTTAAATTTTGTTCTATATGTACATGTGTATGTGTGTGCATGGCGTTTAACAGGTTGTCGAGGTAACAATATTTTCATACCACTCCAAGCACACTAAATTCTCAACGCACATAAAAACAATTCAAACACGCATAAAATCAACTAACCATCACCAAACACACTTAAAACATATGTATGTGGCATGTGGTACACATGTGCACACACCCATACACAAATACATTTGCTAGTTTACAATTGCAAATGTAGTCATTTGTACATTTAATGAGGTCCTTGCGCGCTCATGCAAATTTATTCCGTATATCATAAGCAACGCTCAAGCACCTAGTCACCCACACACACACACACACATACAAATGTATGTAATAATATTGTGCATGTGTGTGTGTGTGCACATATGTGGACGAAAAATCTTGTTTTGGTGCGCCGATTGTCGATTTGACCCAAAAATGCCACTACATGACTTAGTGCCTGCTGAGGCTGCCTTTGCGGCTGTAACTGTAACTGTGGCCATAGCTATGTGGCTGCGCGTGACTGTGCATGTGTGTGTCGCTTACATTGCCTCACCGCTACCACTGTTGCTATTGAAGCTGCGGTTACTTGGCTTATGGCTAGTGGCTGTTGGCTGTTAGTAGTTAGTTGTCGCTATCTCAATGTCCTTGCGGTTGCCGCCATCCTCACACACACACACACACTCATACACGCATGGCGACAAACTGCCAGAGAGGGTGTTTTACTAACTGTATACATGCATGTGAGTGCATGGTGTGTGACATTTGCTAGTTTATGGTAGTATTAGTGGTTGACTAGGCATGCGTGTGCGTACATGGGCCAAACAGTGGTGCCATATTGGAGCGAATGGAATATAATTGTATAACTTGCAATGTTTATTAATAAAATTTAAACAAATTTTGCGAGAATTATTGACAAGAAGATGATTAAAAAAAATAAATTGTAAAAGTGAAAATAAAGCTATAAAAGAATAAAAAACAATAAAATGTAAAAGAATAATAACAATAAAATATAATAAACGTGAATGAAATAATAAGTTTAAAAAAATTTAAAATAAACAAATAACAAAAAAGGAAAACATTAATGAAATTAAAAAAAAAAAAAATTTTTATAAAAATAATAAAAGTAAAAGAAATAATAAAAAAAGAAAATTTAAAAGTAAAACAAATAATAAAAAAAAATTATAAAAGCAAAAAAATATATATAAGTAAAAAAATAACAGAAGTAAATAAGCAATAAGATTAAAAAAATAATAAAATTAGAAAACAATCAAATTAAAAAATAATAAAAGTAAAAATAAAATAATGGTAAAAAAATATTAATGAAAATAAAAATATATATAAAGTAAAATATGAAAAAAATAATAAAAGTTATAAAATAAAATTAAAATATAATAAAAGTAAAAAAACATAAAAAAGTAATAAGTAATAAAAATAAAAAAAAATAGTAAAGGAAACAAAAATTAAAAAAAAAATATAATAAAAGTAAAAAATACAAAAATATATATAATAAAATAATAAAAGTAATAAATATAAAAAATATGAGTAGAAGTAGAAAAAGAATAATAATATTGTATATGATAAAAACAATAAAATTAAATAAACTAAACTAATAAAACTAACAATGGATAAAAGTAAAAACGAAAAAATAATATAATTTAAAAAAATATTAAAAGTAAAAAAATATAAAAAAGTAAAACATAATAAAAATTAAATGTATAATAAAACTAAAATATATATAATATAATATAAAATAATATAAGTAATAAAAATAAAAATAAAATATGAGTAGAAGTTGAAAAAGAATAATAATATATGGTAAAAACAATAAAATTAAAAATAATAAAAATAAAAATTCATAAAAGAAAATAAAAAATAATAAAAATTAAACGTATAATAAAATTAAAAATATAATAAAAGTAACAAAAATAATAAAATATAAGTAGATGTAGACAAAGAATAATAATATGTAATAAAAACATAACTGTTTGTTGAAAAATTATGTAATGTCAGTGTCAACATTATTCCGACAAACCTTTTCCGAACAGGCAACATTTATTTTCTCAAATAATTTGTCAAAACGAGTTTAATAGACGTAATAATATACCTTTATTAGATATTTCGTAAGTGCATCTAAGTGTCTTATTGTGTAAAAGGAATTAGTCTATCACCAATCATGCTAGGGCTGGGTCCACTTCTATTTTTGAATTTTGTCAAGACCATTCCTAAATCAATCAAAGGATCATTATTATACTACTTTAAGCCCCATGAAGATGTTTTAAATTTATAGAATTCCTGAGAAATTAATTCATGATTTTTTCTTTTTCTTCTTCTTTTCTAATATTTCAAGCAAAAAGAAGATTTGGGAGCACACTGGTAATTATAAGGTTTAGTAAAAATAAGTCCATTATTTCTCCGATAGATAGCTTTAGCAATATGTATTCCACATTGTATAAGTGCGATCGGGTTAGGTTAGGTCGGCTATATGGGCTTAGAAAAAGAAGGTAGTGTACTAAAAAAAACCTTGCAGATAGTTTTGTAATTGATTGACTCAGTCTTGTTGGAGGACGCGTCAAAGATGGACATCAACAAAGAGAAAATAGACCATACAGTGTTTCTTGGATAAAGAGGACACGATCAAAGCGGCCTTAATTGTGAATAGTATTTATGGTTCTGATACTGAAGGAGGAAATAATGCGCAATTTTGGTTTGTTGGCTCCGTTTCGGTAATTTTTATGTCAAAAGAGCGTGACGAATTATCGAAAATATCGATAAAATAATGGAAATCGTCGAGTGTGATCATCATGTATGGGAAGCACTGTTTCTATTGCTCAGTTATAAGTGGCACACGGGTTAACGCAAAAAAACGTAATAGACTATATTTGCAACTGCGTATCGCAACAAAATCGATCCATTTTTGAAAGGTGTGATTACTGGCAATGAAAAGTAGGTCGAATACAACAATATAAACCAAAAACGATAGTGGTCGGATAGCGGTGAGCCGGAAAATGGTGACCAAGCCGGGATTGCCGGGTAGGAAGTTTTTGCTAGGTGTTTGGTGAGATTGGTAGGCAATCGTCTAAAATGAACTGCTTCGCTAAGATCAAAATCTTAATTCGGACCTGTACTGTCAACAATTGGATCGTCTGACCGGAAGCATTTTCCCAGACGCGGTATTGGCTTTGGCCAACAGGAATGCAATTGTGCTAAAACCGGACAAAGGCATTCCACACACATCGATAGTGACCCGCCAGAAGCTCCGTGAATCCAAATTATTTGAAGTTAAAATGTTACGAAATCTTAATTTATGATACTGTAAAACTTTATTTATTTTTCAGACCAAAAAAAAAAAAAACAAAAAACTACTACGGCAACACTGTCGCCAATTGTCGTCTCTATGCTGCAGGCTGTGTAGACAAACGCTTCTTCGCTAACCGAAAACGGCAGCGCCGCTACCAAAAGTGTAGAGCAACATCAACAACGGCAACCCCTGCACTTTGGGGCAGCTAGACTGCTTTGAAGGCAATCACATACGCTCCCAAGCACACTCATACACATACGCAGAATCACACGCTGGCTGTCAGCCCTTCAGCTGCTGCTTGTCAACCCCACATAGCCATACACACATACACATACACACGCATGTACACATGTACGCACTGGGAGCGAGTCTGCTTTTGCCGCCTGCTGCGCTAGGCCATGATTAACAGCCCCCAACGAGCCGAGCCTCGCATAACGCGTCGACCGAACGAAATTGTGTCTCTATCGCCAGAACGGAAATGGCAACAGCAACACCAGGCGAAAGCATAAAAACGCACACACACACACACACAAGTAAGGGTACGTACGTACAGAATGTATCGAATGGTAGTGGCAAATGGCTAATGGCAATTGTAACGGTAACGACGGCGGGGGCATTTTTTATAACTGTAACAGCAACTGCCACAGCGGGAAAATGGCAACGAGCCAGGGCAGCTGGCATAGAAAAACAACAAAAGTCACAAGAACAAAAAAGAGATGTGACAACAACAACAACAACAAGAAAAATAACAACAACACCAGCAATATTGGTGAGCACAATAACAACAACAAAAGCGAAAGCAGTAACAACAGCAATGCCATTGACAGCGCCAACAACGGTGGCAGCCTCGGCGGCTGCAAGTGTGTGCGCGTGCGAGTGTGTGTGTGTGTGTACGCATGCGAGGCAAAAACGAGCGCTGCTGCGAGAATTTGTGTGCAGCGGCTTTTTGGGCGTAGATGCCCTTTCACTTTTTTGCACGCATCGTGTTCGTTTATTTTTTTTCTAACACACTTGAATGCTTTAGGGAATTTTACTGTACCCACTCATATTACAAATACTTTTTCTTTAGACTTTTTCCCATTTATGTTGTTGCTGTCGTTGTTGTATACTTTAAAGAGATAAGAAAATGTGTTTGCCATAGAGCTTGTGCAAATATCTGCTTATGTGTGTGTGTCTTTAATAGTAGCGGAAATTCGTTTAGACTTCTTGGCCTACAGCATAGAATAGCATGAAAACACTATATAACGGTATATTTATTAGCATACTGTCAATAGCCTATTGTTTGTATATCTTTTACGCTTACAACCGCATATTTATGTGCGTTTTTTTTTGTATTTTCACCTCTTTACTTCCAGCTCATCAACGCCGAAATTATCCTCATTATGCTCGCCATTTGGTCAGTGCAGTATTTAGTTTCGGATTTTCACGCAATTAACGCCTTATTGGTTGTCTCATTTTAGCACATAGCTCTTTTTTTGTACAATTGCCGCTAGATTTTTTTTTTTTCGCTTTTTGCAGTAAAACTATTTTTGGAGGTTTTTAACACATTTTTTGAATTTTTTAAATACTTTATCGACTTAAAAATCGTTTTAAAATTTGATTTTCGGCTTAAAAACCAATAAAATTAAAATTATTTACAGCTTCAAACCCGTTTTGTAAATTTGTATTTCAGCTTCAAAAAAATTTTTTTTTTGTTTCGGCTTCAAAATTGTTTTAAAAACATTTTCGGCTTAAAAACCCATTGTTAAAATCATTTACAAGCTGCAAGACTGTATACAAAATTTGTTTTTTAGCCTCAAAACCATGTTGAAAAAAGTTTTTGAGCTTAAGAACCGTTTTCAAAATGTTTGTTTTCAGCTTAAAAACCGTTTTCAAAAATTTTCAACTTTTATTTCGTTTCTCAAAAATTTTCGAGTTTTAATTCTTTTTTTTTGATTTTTTTTTTGTTTTTGCTCAGCTTATTTGCTCAAGTTGCCACATTTGCTTTGCGTTTTTTTTTTTTTTTGCTATTGCACACACTTTTTTCTTTAGCTTTGCAGTTGTTAGCAATTTTGATTGAACTTTAAACTTTTCTTTTTTGGTTTCCTTATTTGCACAACGTTTCTTTTTTTCTTCAGATTTTTGTTTTTATTATTACTGACTACTCCTGTTCTGTTTTCTGCTTGTTAGTTGCACACCAAATACTTGAATGTACTAAAGTTAATAGAAAATCGCAGCAGTAGCACCATTTTCCGTGTCGGCGCGACCAAGCGTTCGTCTTCTCTAATTGCGTTAAGATTTGTTCGCGCTTACAAGGATTTCGATTGAATCGTGGTTGTCGTCGCCACCGCTGTCTCATTGCCACAGCATCATCGTATTTGTTCTCCCACTTATGCTTCCTCTTTCGTCTACATATTTATTATGCTCTCCTTTCACTTGTGCTCTTCCTGCGCTAATGTACGAATGTACGAAGCGTATGTGAATATCTTCGTATGTTTGGCTGCTCTTGACGCTGTTACAAATTTCGTTGTTGGTTTTGGTATTGTTGTTGCTGTAGCTGGTTTTGTTATTGTTATTTTCACTGATTCGTTGATGTTTTCGTTATTGTTGTTGGTTTTGTTATTGTTATTTTCACTGTTTTCGTCTCATATAATATGTAGACAGTGGAGTAAAGTTTATTGAAAATCGGACAAAAACATTTTTTGTTTTAATGAGAGGTGGTTTGGAGATGATTATAGAATCTTTTAAGGCAGGAAATTGAACTAATGGAAAGTAAAAGAAATTTAATAATCTATATCTTGAAAACTGGAAAATCATAGGGGGCCACCAGCTCCCACATAGCTCCTTTGAATATTTCAGCGAAGTCTGTTCAGTGATTTCGGCAAAGTAATAAAAATCCGTACAATATTCCAGTCGCCTGATGGCGCAGCAGTAAAATTGCCACGAACCATAACATTTTTAGAGCTGTTAGACTAATATTCGATATATTTCCTTTGCAAAGGAAAGTGGGTATGGGGAAAAAGGGTGTACGCTAGGTGTCTACGCCCTCCGCTTCTAATCACTCTGTTGGTTTGTCTTTTGACGTATGGGTAAAGAAAATGAACAACAAAAAAGCTTTGTTCGATAACAAATGTCCCTAATCATGAGAGAGGGAAATCAAAGAGAGCTTAGATGCGAAGAATCTTCTCTTTCGACAGCAATCGACAAAAATTGGTTTCACAAGTTTCAACGTGGTCATATGTAGGTTTCTGTTAAGCCTTGCCCTGGTGCCCCAAAAACGGCTACCACAGAGGATAACATGATACAAGTCCACGATCTCGTATTGGGAAACATCGGATTGAAGATGTACGAGATTGCAGTGAGTACAGTAAGCTTCTCAAAAGACCGCGTGAGTCATATTCAGCATGATATGTTGGACAAGAAAAATTTGTGGACATGTGCCGGCGTTTGCTTACTCCAGACGTCAAGACCGATTCCCATCTGTTTTTGAGGTTGGTTAAGTGCAATTCGAAGAATATTCCGCATGGTTTCGTGATCATCGAGGAAACATGGAACCACTAAAACACACCAAATGCTAAGGAACAATTGAAGTAGCATATTTCGTCCGATGAATTATTTCCAAAGAAGGGGAAGTCGGAACGACGAAAGCCACCTCTTTTTGAAATTCGCAACGTTTGATCTATGTACATCGACTATGCGGAAAAAAATAAAGTGGTTACACGGTTTTACTATGCTCAACAACGGCTCTTTAACCGTTTCAACTTCGAACTGCAGAGTTAATGACTCAATTTAGCGAAGAAAAGAGCACTCTTTCACTATGAGAAATTTACTAAGTTTTCCGCTTGATAGAAATTTGAATCAAATGAGTATGTTATCGCCGCCACGTAGGCCAACTTTGCGAAACTAAAAAAAAAAACATATTTTTCGGACAGGTTAAAAATGTTGTGTGACGTGTATAAGACGTTGACTTTTAGCAGGCTGTCTTCTATTTATTCGCTCACATATTTTATATATTTCTTATGCCAAAATTAGTAGAAAGTCGAGGCATCTACCATCGTACGAAAAAATGTGAAATTTTCAACACTTTTTCACTTACCGTTACACTGTGCATCCACCAGCTGTTCTGTGTTTGTCCAACGTTCTACGTATAAAAGCTTTGAACTTCGTGCGCTTTTGTATGTGTACGTATACCAAGGGCTGTTATCCTTTGTCGGGATATCTCATTGTTGCTCCAACAGCAGCTACGAGTACTGCAACGGCATCGTGGCGCGTGAGAGTGTTTTGTTGTGAGTGAATGTTTTTTGTAGCTTTGGCTTTTGTTTTGCTGCTGCTGTTACTGTTTTTCCGCGAAGCGTATGTGCGTTGCTCCAGTTCCAATTTATATTGGAGTCTGTGTAGCCTGGTTGAATGCTCAATGGTCGTTCGTTGGTTGTTGGTTTGGTTACTTGACAAGCTCGTTGGCTGTGAAATTGGCTGACGTTCTGGCTGACTGTCGTGCAGCTGCACTTCGCTGAACAATAACTCCGGTGTGCTAGTCTGGCTTGCTGGCTTTACTGCACGCGTGCCGACTCCAATGTGTGTGTGTTCGATTGGCGCTTGTCTGTTTTGTGGCATCACACACAAGCATTGTCGTTTGGCAATCGTGTTGTCGGTCGCATAATCGCCTTTTTGGCGCACACTCAGTATGTGGCTGCTGCGCTGCTCACACTATGACCATTCTCGGTTACTCGGCTACTCTCCCAAATATGCATTGTTCTCTGTAATGTTTGAAATTGTCTTGTTATTGTTGTTGTATTGCCATACCATAATCAAACGGTTGCGTGGCGCTTCATGTTGCTTTCGCTTTGTTCGTCGGTTTTGCCTTTACAGCTTACGGTTTTTGTTCTGCAAATATAATATATTGTGGATGTTGTTGTTTTTATTATTATTATTATTATTGTTTTTGTTGTTAATGTTATACTCGCGCGCTCTCATCGCCGCATACATAGAACATACAACTGTAAATGTTGATTGCTATAACTGTTTGTTTTTAATTCATGCGTTGTTGTTATTGTTATTGTATTTGTTGTTTACTTTCAATGAGTGTCTGAAGTGTAAATTTGCTTAAATTACTTTGAGGCTTCTGCAGCTGCAGCTCTTTGGCTCCACCGCGCCAACGTGCACCGTCCATCAATTCGGTGGCAGCTCCGTTGCATTATTATTATGTTGGCTGAAGCCCACAGCGCCCCCTACTTCTATTATTCATGAAAATTCTCCGCTACATTGCTTTCCATTGACGCGTAAGCAATTTCAAGCCGACAAAAGCTGACGTAGCTATTGTGGAATGGGGCTTGGTGTCTGCTGGCCGTTGGCTGTTAGCTGTTGGCTGCTCGTTGCTGCTGGTGGTTGGAAGTAAGAGTATGCTGCTCGCTGCTTGGCTAGACGGCGACTGTGGTTCGCTTGTTCGCTTCTCAATGCTCAGTTCTGTGTGATCGTTTCTGGCATCGCCAAAGCCGCCGAGGCTGTGCTTCGTCACTGCTTTAATAGTAATTGCCCTTAATTGATTGTTGTGTGTGGCTTTTCACTTTTACTGTCACCATACCCCATAATCCCAGTCTTACTTACAGTTGCTGCTTCGGGGCGGCTATTTTTGATTTATGCTTGGTATGTCTGGCTGTAGCGTATGCTTTACTCCAGCTTCGATAGTCGGTCTTCGTTGGCTCGTATGATTGTGCAAAAGCCGATGACGATAATGCTTTTGCGGCTGCTGCTCATGCAATTTTTATTGGTGGTAAGCGCTTGTTAGACCTGGTGGCACTTGTATGGTTGGGTATTGCAAATTTATGCTATCCAAGTTTTTGTGATCGTGTTAATTGATTTATTGTCTATGATATTGCCTGTGAAAGAACACTAGTTTCAAAAAATCACAATTTTTGTAATCTACGCCTCTTTTGAGAAGGGAAAGTGTATTCCCTCCGAGCTCTCGGCTCATTTATTTGTTGAATTTAACATTCTCTTGAAATCTCTGACTGGATGCGCTTATTCTGGCTACTAAAATGTTTTCGAGAACATTCTCCCGAGAAATGTAAGTGTTCGCTCTGCGTTGAATGAGAGCGGCTTATTTATATTTCTATAATTGAGATCGTAAACAAGAGTCGAGATCTCGGCTGTTTCGATCTTTGAACTAACCTCCCCTTGAAATCTCTGACTGGATCGAGTTATTTAAAGAACTGACAACTAGAATGGTTTCAATTATTTCAACTGTTTCTCGTTTGACTATTGTTTGATCTAAAAGACAAGTACAAATACCGATATATCTGTTGAATTCTGTTACATATGTTACAAATTGGGACTACTAACCGCATCCTGCTCTTATAATAAGATCATATTTGTTTTTTTTTTGCAAAAAATAGCATAATCTTGATGGTTAAAAAATTAACCAAAAAGTCAGGTCCAGTCTTTCCATAAACCCAAAGAGTGAGTTCCTTTGCATTCGAAGGTGGTTTATTTATTTATTTAAGGTTTCCTGGAGCAAAAATATTCTGTTAAAACAGTGAAAAATATAGAGGTATCACTTAGTAGAAAGAAATAACTAAGATCGGAGACCCTACGGTGGTATAGTAACGTTGACGGTGGAACGATGCCAAAAACAATTGAAATGTTTACAATTTATGTGGCCAATTTACGAGTATAGTCCTATTAGTTATTGCCTTGACGGATATCACGTTAGAAAACTTGCGTAGGTTAGATGGTGGGAATTTCAATAGTCTATGGTCTGCTTCACGACCATATCTGCAATTTCGTACTCTTCGACTCAGTTAAGAGTAAATTCGAGAGGTGGTAAAGAGCACCTTAATCATCTTGAGAGAGAAAGAGTTGGGAGAGAAATCTAGAAACTCTAATGACATCAGGAAAATTGGAGATCTCCTTACCACCTCACCCATCTTAAGAGAAAATTAGTTGAGAGAGATATCTACAAATTCTGATAACATCAGGAAAACTCGAGGTTTGTTTACAGAAGCATATGATTCTAGGTTACGGAACTACAGTTTCTCCAAATACGAATACTAAAATCTGTCTTATAGTACAACTGATTAGATACCGTTTTCGGACAGTATTCTTAGTTTGTAATCACTAAAGACAGCTTCTTTACCAGCGACTTACCGACCACCACATACCGAGATTCATTCGAAAATATTGCGCAAAATTGCAATTTTCTTCGAATACTTGATTTTGAGCTACCAAAATTTGACTCGAACCGGCCCGTATAAACTGTGCGAAAAATTTTTTTCCTAGATTTGTATAACCTCTTTTTATGTTTATGTAGCTTATGGAAAACTTGTCTCATGGGACGATAAC